TCGGCCAAAAGCTTACAATTGTTCCAAGAAAGGAAAAACAAAGTTCAAAATACAAAGGAAAAAGGCACCAAAGTCAAGACTCTTCAGCACCACCAGATGGTTGAATTTGAAGCTCAGAAGACTGCTGGGAAGACATCTCGGCAGCCTTCTCAGCCACGAGCTCTGTGTCAATTTCTTGAAGGGTTTGATCGAGGCTCTTCTCAGCGAGAGACACATCTGATGATGCCTTCTCAGGAACGACAACCTTGGGAACCTCCTCAACCTCTTCATCCTGAGTCAAGTCTAGGACTTGCTTATTTTGAGGAGGGGATTTGGCCCCAGCAGCTTCTTTGGACTTTCTCACCAGAACTTCCTCATCGGACTCAGAGTCGTCGTCGGATTGGCTTGGAGTTGGGCGGAATGGCAGAGGAATGTCATCGGTTCCTAAGGGGGGAGTCCTCGGGGACATCAAGTTTCTTCAGCAAGGTCATCCAACCAAGGGTGAAACCCTTGTTGCATGCTTGCTTGACTTGCTTTTGATAATCCGCCGTGACGTCGGCCACCCCTTCGTTGTAGCCTCTCTCATCGGCGGCCTTAACTTCGACCTCTTTGGTAGTCAGGGCATCCTAAAGTTCCCTTTGGGCCTCAGCCGTTTTATCTTCGACTTCTTTTAGCTGGGCCTGGAGGACTTTGTTTATAGCCTCAACAGCACCCGCCTTCTCTTCGGCATCATCCTTGGCTTTGATGGTAGTCTCGGCCTGATCTTAAAAAGTCTTCATTTTTGATTGTAAGTTTTTGTTAGTCTTCTACAGACTAGAGACCTCCCTCTTCTTTTCGGCTAATGCCTGCCTCGCTTCAAATGATTGAACTGAAAAGGAGTGGGCGTGCTGGATTGCCTGAAGAAAAATGAACAGAGCAGAAGTCATTAGAATAATTTTTCTGAGTATGAAATAAAGAAAGAAAAATTAAAAGAAGCTTACTTTGGTAGAATGCTGCAGCATCAGAGCATAGTTCTCATACTCAGTCATCTCGGCGTTGCGGTCGAGATCACCTGGGAGAAGTAGAGCAGTGGTAAGTGCAACACCGACGTTGATGTCGTCGACGCTGTCGTCGACAGTGACTGGCCTGTCCTCCAAGGTAATAGCAGGAGTCTAGGGGGCACCAGACTTCCTGGACCCAAACGTCGTGGCGGACTTTGACCTCGGCTTCTTTGCCCGAGTTGATTGTGAAGTGTCGGCATTGGCGGACGTCTTCTGAGGGGTGGAGGAGGTCTTCTCACTTGGAGCCAATTTTGAAATGGGCAAGGTGTCCTTAGTATCAATCTGAGTCACCTTTGCCTTTGGGTGTGCCTTTTTAATTCTTTTTTGTTTTGGCTTTAGGGGCTGTGCTGGTACTGTTTCAGCGTCAACAGAGGATGGAATGTCGGCCAAGAGGTCTTTAGCAACAGCTTTTTGACGACCCATCTCGGCAGGAAGAACAGTTTGTCGCCGACGTTGTCGCTGGGATAGTGGGATCAGGAATGGGGCCGATGTTGATGGCTGCTTAGCTGGATCAGAGGTTGATCCTTGATTTGGCTGAGATGTGGAAGCGGCTGGAGGAGTTGTGGCAAAAGGCAGAGAAAGGCTTTTCTTCTTCTTCTTTGGGACGTCGGGGAGTACTGACTTATAGGTTGGAATAAAGTTGAGTAGCAGTGGGGCTTTCCGCTTGTGGACTGGCAGATCCAAAAGCTTCTTCAAGTCCTTACTGGGGAAGAAAGACTGATGAAAGCCCTTGGGTGGCTGAGGAAGAACTGCAAAAAAATAAAAGCACAAACATTAGAACAGAATATGGAAAACTTTAAAGAAAGCAAGAAAATTTATGAAGGGTGGCCCTTACCAGCTCCTTCCCCGAAAACTGTTCGGCTTAGGGGATATAGATGAAGGTCATCGTTTGGTTGAAACTCCCAGTTGCCCGAGACGATGATGTAATCGTCTCCAGCGCCCTTGTTCAAGTCTGGGAGGTCGGCAATGAGTTTGTATTTAGTGGACCTCGGCTTGAGGCAATAGATGTGGCCTTTTTCGGATTTCAGACGACACATGGTATAACAGTACTGGAAGTCGGCAAGAGTAATCCTGGCACTCTCCTGTTTGGCTAAGGCTGTGGTACCATTGATAACTCGGTAAGAATTTATGGCAAGCTGTATTGGGTTCAATTTATAGAAATGAAGGATTTCACTGAAAAAAGGGTCAAGTGGGAACCTAAGTCCACACTCAATAAACGCCACTACTGGGAAAGGCATGAGGTTCACATCGGGCATGATAGAGTCATCCTCCCCAGCCAACCTTAGATGAACGTCGGCCGGGATATCAAACTCTCTCCTAAAGTGCTCTAGTTTGGTCGGGGTGTCTACTCTATGCTTCCACATACCCATGACGTCGGCTTAATTGGAGGACTTTGATTTCAGAAAGAAGTGTTTTGGAAAGGGTTTTTAGGGGACCTCGGCTAAAAACCTAAGAATGTACTATGGTAAGAGTTCGTATGGATCTAAACGAAGTTTGTGTCAGTTTTTCTAGGGTTCGTAAGCTCTATAGACAAATTCCAAATCCTGAAGTCTAAGCAAGTGAAGATTGAAGACAAAAATCTGGAAAAGTCACAGCAAACAGAAAAGCAAGATGTGTTTCAGAAATGAGAATGGTGATGAAGCCATTGAGAAATACAAGACAAAAAGTTGAAACAGTGTGTATTCAAGAAGACGAATTGGGCAAAAACAGAGACGCGAAGCAACCATACTCAAACACATATACAGAATAAACTAATCAAAGATAAGCAAGTTTGCAAAAATGACAGAGTTCAAGGAAAAATCAAGAGCTGAAACCAAGGAGAAACAGTGGCTTACCAGAAAAAGTGAAGCCGGTAAGAGGATCGCCAGAGTCAGACGATGGTTGTAGAAGCAACGGAATAGTGAAAATCGCGCCGGAAGTGATGAAACGGAGCAAGTTGCAGAGCTAAGTGAGCTTGGGCAATGGCGGACTCAAAGCTAGAGAGAGAAAAGCTTCGGAAATAACAATGATAAGTGAAAGATGAAAGAAGAGGGAAAAGTTTTGTTAAAACTTGAAACGACGGTGAAATAATTAATGAGCCTAGAACGACGGATTCGTCAGACGGCGCACGCAGGCACGAGACGATTTATAGGCGCGTGACAGGTATGATCTAGTAAGGAGAAGACACGTGGCTAAAACGGTTGAGTTGTTATGTATGACAGCTCATATGCGTAGAGAAGCTCTTGAAATTCTTGTTCTTTAAAAAGACATGTCGGCCTTCATGATGATATCGGCTAAAGAATTTTATAAGCAGACGTACTAATATATGTAGCATCACCAACTCAGATTGCCGAGATAATGGAACCTAGGGGGCAGTTGTGGGGATATATTTTATGAGTACCAACACGTGGCCAAGGTGACACCGACGTGTCAGTCGAGGTGCCACGTGTCCTAGTTATGATGACGAGGTGATCTCGGTAAGGCCGAGGTTATCTCCGAAGATATCGGAATCCGAGATAAGCGGATAAGGGACAAGAGGCCTAGAATAAGGAAGGACTTCAGCATGGATAAGGATAACACTCTTAGGGAGTTTATCTTTATCTCTTGGAGAGTCCAGGATAAGCATTAAGTAGGAGTCCATTGAAGCCAGGCTTCTACCGGGACTAGGATTGAATCAACTATAAAAGAAGGGCACCCCCGATGGGTCTAAGGTACGCAATTTAGACTCTGAACAGTGAGTTTAGCAATATTGATTATCTTTGAGAGATATACTGACTTGATCGTTGGAGTGCCCCCGGGTGGACGAACCACCACCAGAGTCTTCTCTTTCTGTTGCAGGTCATCCAGGTGTCATCTATTCTGCCAGTGTTTTACAGTTGAAAGCTGAGTTGGCAGTGTGGTCAGAAATTCACTCATATAGAATCCAATCATGTCATCTTCATACAAACCCAAGCTTCAATTCCCTCTCGACATTTGGTATCCATGAGAAAGTAACGAATTCCACAGGTTTGGATGTTATACACACCCATTTGGGTTGTCCCCAACCAAAATCAACTTCATAACAAGAAAACCCTCCCCAACTACTAAAGAAAAAAAAGAGTAATAGTAATCAACACCTTTAGGCTTGTTTTTATTAAAAAATTGACCCTTCTTAATCAAGATCGGTGAGACAAGAAACAACAAACAAAGAACAAAAACGAATCAAACAAACCACACACATACACACACACAAGAACACAAGGATTTATGTGGTTTATCTCAGAATAAGGCTACGTCCACGGCTGCTGCGATTTTTCACTATAATCAGAAAAATACAACTCTCTCTTCATCTGAAAGAGGCGACCTCTCATCTATTTATAAGTATAGAATAGAATTAGGATTACACAGAAACACATGGGAATTATGAAAGTACCTAAAAATTTCGGCCAAGGGGGGTAAACCGCCCTTGGACCCCCTTGCCCTTAAGGGGAGCCCCTCCCCCCAAATCTCTCATTGGACCTAGTGTTTGAGTGAATAATAGGGTTGAGTGAATAGTACTTATCAGGGTCTACCAACCTAACAATCTCCCACTTGGAACCTAATAACATGAGCTCTCCATCATCTTCATCACATACAAGAATACCGCAACAACTCAAATTTTCTTTATCAATCTTGAAGGTCAACTAAAGCTGCACACAACTTCAGTTTGTCAATGGTGACTGTCTTGGTCAACATGTTTGCTGGATGCTTACTGCCTTGGATCTTCTCAAGAGACAAGTTTTTTATAAGCAAAAAGAACTTTATTAATGAAGAAAAATATACATATAAGATAAAGGAAGGTGAGTACGAAAAGTATCAAAGTAAAATAATACGATCCCAACTAAGTTGGTATCGAGAAGAAAACCCAATTCATTTAGTAGCACTACCGTCAAAGGTTGGTGAGAGACCAACAATAACAAACAAAAGAGCAACCACAAGAAAAAAATAAAACCAAAAGAGATAGAAAATCCAATCATGTCATCTTCAATAGAGGGCAGTGGAGATGGTGGAGGAGTGAGTGTAGCCAAATCTAAGGGGGGCCTTGCGGTTGCGGGGCCTCTCCGAGCAACGCAAAGATGGTGGTAAAGGAGGGGGATCATCACCATTTTTGCGAGGGGCCTTGCGGTGTCTCTTCGCCGGGAGGACTGAGGGAGGTGGAGGTGGGGGTGGTGGCGGTAGTGGAGGAGGAGGTGGTGGTGTTGTCTGGTTAAGTGAAACAGAACGACGGGGAGGGGTCTTGCGGCGTCTCTTCGCCGGGAGAATTGAGGGAGGCAGAGATGGGGGTGGATGTGGTGGTGTTGTCTGGTTACCTAAAACAGAAGGAGGGGGAGGGGGAGGGGGAAGGTGAAGGGGCTGGGGCTGAACAAGAACATCACAGCCACCACCTAGTTGTTTTTGCCACAAAAGAAAGAGAGAGAGAGAGAAAGAGACCATGGTGTGGATGGTCTTGCATTAGCAAGAGCATGTGCTTATAAAGGTGCATAGACATGCTCAAAATAAGATCGAATCCCCTTCGACATGCTCAAAATCAAGATCGACTCCTCAAGATCGAATCCCTTCCGACGAAACTTTCGGCCCTGCCAAGTGGGCGTTTTCACAAGTAGATATTTACATGGATATATTTACAAAGAAAAAAAAGGTTAGAACAAGTACTTTCTAAATGTTTTAAATATACAATCAATGAATTTTGAGGCAACACATAGATGGGGAATTTATTGGAATTTTTTTTTATTTGTATTTCAATTAATTCATAAGATATTATTATATTCTAATAAATTTTATTCTTTTGAATATTTAATTTATAAAATTTTAATTTTCATATTTCAAAAATTTTAAGAATAATTTTATCTTTATAAAAAAAATTTCAACACTTAGTAATTTAGTAATGTAAACATTCACATTAAATAAATTTGACAGTGTAAATGTTTACATTAACATTATAAATGTTAACATCATGGAATATTCATACTATTAATGTGAATATTAATACGCGCTTCACTCTATTATTATTAACGATATTTTAATAATTATATTACTCATAAAACATATTAAAATATAAAAAAAAAGATTTAAATTGAGTGGAATATAAGTATGTGAACAGGAATTTATGAACAAATTTTTTTTATTTTTAATGACGTTCAAATAAATCAAGAAAAATAACTTAGTAGTTTTAAATTGATTGTATGGTTCGATAATATCATAGAAAACTTTAATTTGTATTTTTTTTATCTGTAAAAGTCAATTGTTAATAGTTAAATTAGCAATTATGAAAGTTAGCATTATCACCCTTTTAGAATACGAAGTGATTGCTTCCTAATTCAACTTCTCTTAGAAAGAGTTGAACCTGTAATCTATTCTTTGGACTAAATCCTTAAGAGACTCATGGTGGTCAAAAAAATAAAAATAAATAATAATTTGAATTGTGGCATATAAATAAAAGAGAAAAGAGCTATACAATAGATTTATAAAAAAAGAAAAATATAGTTAAATTTGAGAACAATGCTTAAGCATTTTATTTTATTTATTTATTTTTTGAATTGTGTAAATTTTGAATGTTTAAAAGACTATAAAGATAGGTTTTTTTTTTTTAAAAAAAAAACTCCACGTTTGATTAATACATCAATTTCAAATCTTAGAAATAAATTTACCAACTTTTTCCCTATGCGCACCCATTTGCTCGCCTTGCATGCACCATTATCACTAGTGCTAATTAGTGCTTGACCATTAGTATTTGAATGTGTAAAAGTATTTTGAAAATTGAAAATGGTTAAAAAGAAAAAATTGAAAAAAATTATAAAGTATTTTAAAATTAGTAAAAAAATGTATTATATTGTTCACTTTTTATTTTATTTTATGCTTTTGCTCCCAGAATTACTAGTGAGACTCTATATGCAGAACTTTTGTATAAAATAATATGGTTATGGAACTAGTTACTCATAACCACCATCTGTTCTGCATCTATTCTGTTAGCATTAATGGATGTACCGCGTGTGATTAAGGCCAAGTTTGGGAAGACTAAATAAGTGCACTTTTTGTCTTTTTGGACTAAAAAATTGAGATTGAAAATATGGATGTTTGGGTTAACTTTTTGACTTTTTATGGAAAAATGTGTAATAAAAAATTGTAAAAATTGGTTTGTAGAGGAAAATTTGAATTGGGAGTTGTGCAGCCGTAATTGTTGACTTTTGGTGAATAGTGTTAACTTTTTAACTTTTTGAGTAACTTTTTGGCTTTTTGGCTTATTTGGGACTTCCCAAACTTAGCCTAAATAACAGTTAAGATGGATTTTATTACAAAAAATAAAAATGTTTCCTACTCAAAATAGAAATTCAAAAATACTTTGAAATATTCAAATTTTGAAAATAAGATGTTAATTTGAATTAGTGTAATATGGGATTACACTCATTATAAACTTAATACAAATATTCACTTCCAAATAAATAACAGTTAAGATGGATTTTATTACAAAAAATAAAAATGTTTCCTACTCAAAACAAAAATTCAAAAATAATTTAAAATATACAAATTTTGAAAAAAAGATGTTAATTTGAATTAGTGTAATATGGGATTATACTCATTATAAATTTAATACAAATATTTCAAATTTTTTTTGCTCAAAAAAAAAAAAAACTTTATTGATGAAAAAGCATAGTACATACAAAATTACATTAACAAAGAACGGAAGTGCAGAAAGCATCAAATCAAACCTTAACAATCCCTACTAAGTTGGCACCGTAAAGAAAGCACAATCATCTACTAGCACTTACCCAATATTGATGAGGAACCAATAAAACAAAATCCAAAGAAGAACAGACCAACTATACAAAGCACAACAAAACCAGCAGTGCTAGCAGTGCATCAAGACCTGCAGTGCATCAACCCGATACTAGTAGCAAGCCAATCATCAAACCAATCAACACAAATATTTAAAATTTAGTAAACTCTTCCCAGTCACATTGCTGTTAACAAAAGACTACGTCACACTATTCTTGTGATCTCTTTCGCATAAATTAAATTATGTACGAGTATTGTTTCTATAAAAATGTAAAATTCTATTTTATTTTTATTTAATATATAATGCAATGTCTAAGAAGCACAAACACTTATAAGAATGTGACGTATTGTATTGTGTTCGTGTTTTGTCCGTGTCGAACACTAGCATTCATTAGACACTTCATAATACGTGTCTAACACGCGTTAAAACGTGTCCTATATTTTTTTTCAAAAAAAGTTTAGATTTGACAATTTTAAGACACTTGTATCCTTTGATTAAACACATGTCACTACAACAATTTAAACTTTTGGCGACAAATTATTTAGGGTTTAGGGTTTAGTTTTAAGGGCATTTGGGTTTAGGTTTTGGAGTTTTCGGTTTAGGGTTTAGGATTTTGTGGTTTAGGATTTTAGAATTTTAGGGTTTAGGGTTTAGAGAACTTAGGATTTTAGATTTAGAGTTTAGGGTTAAGGGGTTTAGGTTTCTGGGTTTATGGTTTAAGTTTTATGCAGTTTAGGATTTGGGATTTAGGGTTTTGGGGTTTTGGGTTTTAGGGTTTAGGATTTAAGGTTTAGGGTTTAGGATTTAAGGTTTATGGTTTAGCGCTTAGGATTTAGGGTTTTTAGGTTTAGGTTTTAGGGTTTTAGGTTTAAGATTTAGGGTTTTGGGGTTTAGTATTTAGAGTTTTGGGTTTGGGGTTTAGGGTTTTTTGGTATAGGGTTTAGGGCTTAGGGCTTAGGATTTAGGGTTTTTTGGTATAGGGTTTAGGGCTTAGGGCTTAGGATTTAGGGTTTTGGGTTTAGGGCTTAGGGTTTAGGGTTTAGGGTTTAGGGTTTAGGGTTTAGGATTTAGGTTTTTTAGGGTTTTCTAGGGTTTAAGGTTTGGGATTTAAGGTTTAGGATTTTTAGGGTTTGGGGTTTTTTAGGATTTGGGGTTTTTTAGGGTTTTGGGATGAGTGTTTTTTAGGGTTTGGAGAGTTTAGGGTTTAGGGTTTTGTGTTTTTGATTTCGAGTTTTGGGTTTGGGATTTAGGGTTATGGTTTTGGGTTAAGGGTTTGGAGTTGAGGGTTTAAGTTTTAGAGTTTAGGGTTTAGGGTTTTAGGTTTTTTAGGGTTTTAAAGTTTTAGGATTTAGGGTTTAGGATTTTGGAATTTTGGGTCTATGATTTAGGGTTGCGGGTTTTAGCGTTGGGTTTAGGGTTTTTACGATTTTTTAAGATTTAGGGTTTGAGGTTTAGGTTTTAGTGTTTTTAGGGTTTTTTAGGCTGTGAGTTTTTTTGGGGTTTAGGATTTAGGCTTTTTAGTGTTTTTTAGGGTTTTGGGTTTGCGATTTAAGGTTTAGGATGTAAGGTTTAGAGTTTATGGTTTAGGGCTTTTAGGGTTTTTTGGAGTTTAGGGTTTAAGATTTTTTTAGGGTTTAGGGAGTTTGGGGTTTAGGGTTTTATGATTTTTCGGGTTTAGGTTTTGAGGTTTAGGATTTAGGATTTAGGGTTTATGGTTTAGGGTTTAGGGCTTTGGGATTCAGCATTTTGGGGTTTGGGGTTTTGGATTTAGGATTTAGGGTGTTGGGTTTAAGTTTTAGAGTTTAAGGGCTTGGGGTTTTATGGCTTAGGGTTTAAGGGGTAGGGTTTAGGATTTAAGGTTTAGGGAGTTTAGGGATTAAGGTTTTTAGAGTTTTTAAGATTTTGGGTTTAGGGTTTAGGATTTTGGGGTTTAGCATTTGGAGTTTAGGGTTTTGTTGTTTTGGGTTTAAGATTTAGAAGTTAGGATTTAGGGTTAAGGTTTATGGTTTATGGTTTAGGATTTAGGGTTTTGGGGTTTTGAGTTTATGATTTAGGATTTAGGGTTAAGATTTAAGGTTTATGGTTTAGGGTTTTTGGTTTAGATTTTAGGGTTTTTGGTTTAGGGTTTAGGGTTTAAGGTTTATGGTTTAGGATTTAGGGTTTAGGATTTTTAGGATTGTTTAAGGTTTAGGCTTTGAGATTTGAGGTTTAGGATTTAGGGTTTAGAGTTTACGGTTTAGGGCTTAGAGTTGAGTGTTTGGGATTTTAGGTTTTTTAGGATTTTAGGGTTTAGGGTTTAGGATTTTGGGGTTTGGGTTGTGGTTTTAGGGTTGGGTTTAGAGTTTAGGGTTTAGAGTTTTTAGGATTCTTTAGGGTTTAGGATTTGGGGTTTAGGTTTTCAGGCTTCTTGGGTTTTTTGGGGGTTGGGTTTTTTTGGGATTTAGGGTACAGGCTTTTTAGGGGTTTCCAGCATTTTGGATTTGGGATTTAAGGTTTAGGGTTTTGGGGTTTAGGTTTTAGGATTTTTGGTTTAGGATTTAGGGATTTTAGGGTTTTTTTAAGGTTTAGGATTTGGGATTTAAGGTATAGGATTTAGGGTTTTGGTTTAGAGTTTAGGATTTAGGGTTTAGGGCTTAGAGTTGAGGGTTTAGCGTTTTAG